ACAAACTAAATTAGAAGGAAAAGGAATAGAGGTTGTCTACACTACAGAGAAGATTGAAGGTGCTGCTGTCGATCTTCCAGGGTTCAAATTAGCCGGTCTAGTGAAGTCAATTTGAACTGAGAGGGGCACGCTGGTAGTCCTGCTTCCATGAGGAGTAAGGGAAGTTGAAGGAAGAGTGCTCACCTTTCTGCAGTGTGGACAATGCAAAAATTTGAGTTAAGCTACTTCAATGTCAGCTATGCAACTTCAGCTACATTGGTTGCATGTTTTAATTCAACTTTATCCCATAGTATAGACAGACCCATAGATGCATTCTACAACTCACCTCTCAGCATGAAGACACTTAAAAAGATGAAAAGATCAATAAAAAAATCCCACATCTGCTATGTGAACTGCTAGACCACATTAAAAAGCATGACAGATTAAACCCTAAAATATGGAATAGACCTTCATCCACGTATGACTGGTGTGAATTTAATTCTGACTAGATAGAGGACTAGACCAAAGCCCCCAGACTCAAAACTCTTTGAACTTTTGGGCAAGGGGGCAGATAGGGAAGGGTGAATTAGCACTTGATAAGAATTTTACAGCCAGCACTTTTTTTAGAATAGAAAAAAAACATAACCCGAGAGTTGAATATCCCCATATTTGGAGCAAAGATAAAATTCAGTTCCAGATCCAGACCTAAAGTTTATAGTATTAAGAGGTATTTATATCAGTGAGGGTACGTCTTATACAAGAGGTATCCTGAAAAAATTCCACAGCTTCCAGGGAATGCGTTTGTGCTTCCACTTTTTTGCAGAAGAGCCAAACACGCTCTTTTGGAAACCCCTGTATTCCTCATTCCACAAGGAAGAAGGGGTCTTCTGAAAGAGGGTTTTTTCCAAAATTTGGCCCAGTCTAGATAGGCCAAATTTCTGAAAAGCATTTTCCAACAAAAGTATCAGAAAAAGATACACAAAATGCGGAGTGCATTTTACATATCTTTTCCTATTAGATCCTCGCAGTCTAGACGTACCCTGAATGGAAAGAACTTTGACAAATCCCAAGAGAGGGACTTTTCAAGACATCTAGCCCCTTCAGCTAATGTGCACACATCTTTTATAAAGGTATTTTTAATGTGTCATATTCCTTCCACTCTGATGTCATGTGTGTTACAAACTACAAAATACTGCAGTCCTGCAGGGTTGTTGTTTTTAACCTTATCATATATATAGTAGCCCAGTGTCTGAGAGTCTGTAATGCTGAAATGCTGGCTGTTCCCTCTGGGGGGCCCGTGCTGCATGGGGAGTGCGGGGTCCAAACGGCTGCTTGCGCCACTTGCTCCCCCGCAGTGGCCTGGCTAAGTGGCGCAG